CCATTTCATGGTTATCCCCTCCTCACGGGCACATAGGCACACATGTGGCCTAAGGTGAAGATGTCACATGGCAGGAAATGCAAGCCATCCCTGGCCAGGCCAACCTCTGTGCTCACCTCCTTGTGCCCCCACTCCCTCCAGAGAAAGGAGGACACCCTAATCGTGACTGGTGGTCTCACTATCCAACTCTCCAAACAGACTAAGCTCCAATAGGGCAGAAACCTTGCTTATTCCTTTCCCTGCTTGACTTATATGGCCTGGAACACGGCATGCATTCAGTGATCTTGTGAGAAAGTAAAAAAGGAAGAGAAAGGAGGCCCAGCACACCCTGAGAGGGTGAAATGTCATGCCGATGTCGAGCTCACATCTCTGGGGAGCTCACAGGCTAGAAAATGCTCCGAACATGGTCCAGCTTCTGAGTCTTATTCCCAGCAACGAGAACACTGGGCCAGGGTCATGGGTTGTGTCCCCTTCTGCATTCCCCAGCCCCCAGGAATCCCAACCAGCCCCTGGGCCCCTGTGGCTCACCAGTCTCCTGCATCATCTGAGCAAGGTCCTCCACCAGCGCCACAGCCTCCTCACCACTCTCAGGGCACTGGGACTCCACCCAGACCAGGGTGTCAGGTGGCAACACACCCAGGAACTGCTCCAGCACTAACAGGTCCATCATCTGCTCCTTGGGGTGTGCTTCGGGCCTCAGCCACTGGCTGCACAGCTCCTGTAGCCTGGCTAGGGCCTCTTGGGGCCCTGCTGCCTCTTCATAGTGGAAGCTGCAGAAGCGCTGCCAGGGTCCCTACAGAGTCTGGGCAGCAGGGTTGAGGGCTGAGAATTGGAGAAGGGTTCAGGATCCCATGGGGCAGCCTCATCTTCCTCCATCTTGATGATCACGAGCTCTTCCTGACTGAGGGGTGCTGGGTCGGCTGCCATGGCAAGACCTTGGGAAGTTGGCCTCCCCTGCACTCACTCAGGCCACACACCGTCTTCCTGGGACAAATGCCCATCCAGTCAGGGCCACTGATCATGCACGCCCCTCCAGTCACCCACACCCTCAAGGCCACTTGCTGCTGGGGAAACTGTCCCCAAGTCTGGCCGGCTGGCAACCTGGTAGGGGATACCTCCAGCCTCAACCTCCCCATCTGTGCCCTCAAGAGAACAGCTGGCACTGGGAATCTGGTTAAGAGAAGAGTGAACCCACCCCTGCGGAACTTTACAATAGCTCATGCCAGACTGGATAAAGGTGGGAGAGTTTTCCTGAGGGCAGGGGGCACAGACATGCCATGTTTCAGTGAACTGAGAGAATCCCACCAGCAGTCAAGCAGAAGTGCAGGCGGGAACTAGCAGAGGGTCAGTGCCCAGGGAGGGTCTGAGCAAGTGAAGGGTGCAATCAGCCAGGCACCAGGAAGAGTGATGTGGGGGACAGACTGGAAGGGCAAGATGGAAGCTAGGGACAGCATGGGCCAGGTGCAGGGAGAGCAATAGCTGACTCACACTGGAAGGCCTTCCTTCCCCCATGGCAGACTCCTATGGAGCCTGAGAGGCTCAGCTCACACCAGTTAGCCAAGCTCAAAAAATGACAAGGAAAGATGTCCACTCTACAATGTTAAACAAGAAAGTAATCTGTGGCCCTCCTCACGCAACATGATCCCACTGATGTTAACATTTGAAAACAAACCTCTGCGGTGTTATGTGTGTGTGAGTGCACGCAGGAGCTACCGTTATAAATGTTCAGAAATGGGTCCTGAAAAACAAACTCCCAGTGGGCGAAATCTGGGAAAAATAACTGGAGGAGGACATCCGCTTTTTCTTTTCTAAATCTCTACATACTGTCTGCTTTGGGGGGGGGGGGGGGGGCAACGGCTATTTGTTACCATTGCAACTTTAAAAGAGAATAAAGGCTGTTTTCACTGGCAGCGCATGTTTTTAAAAGGGTTGGTCAGGGTTCCCCAGACCGGGGCAGTTCCATGCCCCACACACACCCAACCACCGGGCTCCTGACTGCCAGGTGCCCTGAGGAGGTGATGGCTACGGGAGAGAACATTCTGGGCCGCGGGATCAGCTCAGGCCAGAGCCACGTGGCCAGGGCAATGCTGCAGAGCCTCTGGCCACGTAAGGGTCTGGATTTTAACCCCCGAGGGCGGAGAGCGCCCTCCCGGAGCACTCTAAGGACGGACGCAGGTGGAGTGGGAGCAAAGGGGGAACGCAAGCCTAGGCTGCGGAAATCCAGAGACGCCCCAGAGGAAGTGAGAACAGTTCGGAAGGAGCCCGGTGGGTCTGCATCTGAAAGGGAACCAGTGGAGGGAAGCCCAGGAAACTGGGCTCAGGAGGGTAACAGGGCCCATCCGCAGGAAGAACCCGCAGCAGCGGTGAGAGCCCAGCTCAGCCCAGAACCACTTCCGGGTCAGGACGCGCCCGCGCAAGACTGGGTATCCCAGAGGCCCCCGCGCCGCCCTTCCTCCAGGACGAACGGGGCTCCCAGGGAAACGGGCGGTGCTTCTCTGCGCCAAGTCCCCTGCCGTCCTCCGCCGGGCTGCACACCCTACCCCAGGCCTTTCCGACGCTTCTGGCTGCACTGCGCCCGACTCACCACCCCCCGCAGCCACACAGCCCAGCTCCACCGCGCAGGGACCGCGACCAACCACCCTGGCGAGGAGAACGGGGAGCTCCCGGCCCCTCCACTGACTGCTGCCGGCGCCCGTGCCCTTGCCCTCGCGCGTGACCCCCGCCCCCGCTCGACATCCCACGCAAACACCGCGGGAGGGGAGGGAGGCAGGAGTCGGTTGCTTCGGCGTCGAAGACAGGCTGTTGGTGAGGTTCTCTGGCAAATGCAGTCCCCAGCGCGTCCGAGAATCAGCCTGTGGAGCTGCAGGAGACACCGGGCTTCCCTGACCCACCACCAGGGCCACCCTAAAATGCTCAGGGGCCTGGGAAAGCTGGCTGGTTGAACGAACCCAGGGCTCCCCGCTGCGCGCTTACTGATGGCCGGGCGCCTGAAGAAACAAGCCCTGGAGCCAGACGGTCCGGTCACAATGCCTGCATGACCTAACTACTCCTTCCACCCGGTCACCGGCCGCTGGGCCTGCTTCAGCGGCTGTACGGCACTCAGCCTCCCCCGAGGATACCCCTTCCTCCTGGGCCTTAGGCTTTCACCAACCACCCCACCACACTGGGCTGCCTGTCAAACCCCTCGGTACCGTGTGGCATTTTGAAATGGGCGTTTCCTGTCAGCAAGGTCCCTGAAGCCTGAGACACCACTTCCCCAGAAAGCCTATCAGGCCTGGTCCTCTGTGCCTGGCTAGGTGGGGGTTCCTCCTGAGTCACCTGTCATAGCCTTGTCACAGAGAACGGAACAACCTCTGGACTGGCAGCTCCTGAAGTCAGTCTCACTCACCCTGGTCTCCTCAACAGCTGGCTCATAAAATGGGCGATTAATCCAGTCCGTCACCAGAATCCTAAGAAAAGCTTCCCTTTTCTGTCATCCCTCTTACCATTCTCCCCAGGAAAGCAAGCACGGGGCCTCGTCTGACCTTTCTCCCAGTAAGGCTGGCCCTTCAAGCCCCTCCCTGGCCCCCGGCCCCTGTGATATGTTGACAGCAAGCCCATCAATGCAGACGGAAGTAGCACGCATCCTTCCTCCCACCTTTATTTCTTGGCATGCGTGTCTGTGTGTGTGTGCACACACCTGTGTCGAAAGGAGTCCACAAGCCCAGACATCCCTGTCCCACCACCTGTGGCTCATCCAGCTGGAGCACAAGAACACCTTCCCTTGCTGACTATCTGTGTTTTGGTGACCCAAGAGGTGTTTCTGCAGTCAGGTGGACACCCCATGATGCCTGTTGTTACAGTTTGGGGGACAGGAAAACAAACTGGAATTAGGGGAGATAATAAGACTGGGGGGTGGGGTGTCCACCAGAATCAGAGCTTTGGGTCTAACTCAGGGAGAGGCTGGGCTGTAGCCAATGCACTGGGAGTTAACCCTGAGGTGATCACAGCTCTTAGGAGTGGATGGTATTTTCCAAAGAGCACCAGAACTGGGAGACCATCACAGCCACAAAAGGCTCAACCTCAAAGGCTAGAGGGAAGCCAAGACAACGATAGCACAGAAACTCAGGGAAGAAAACATCTCCAAATGAAGGAAGTGAACCCTGGTATCAAAATCCACAGTGAATCAAAGTGCTCAGGCACAGGAAAGGTAACAGAGACCCGGATCAACAGAGGCCATGGAAGCAGGAAGAGGTGAGGATGGCATGGAGAGGGACAAAGGACATGCCGAGAGCAGGAAACCCTCATCTAAAGTTGTCAAGGAAGGGTCACAATGGTGCAGGGAGTAAGAGGTCAGGTTTGGAAAATGGGAGAGGTGGGTCTCAGTGCTGGCCCCTCACCACAAGAAAAGCTGCCCTGGCAGGCTGTGCTGGGCAACTACCATACTACAGGATGTGTCCCTGTCATGGGTGGGCACTCCTGGGCCCTGCAGTTCATCTGCCAGTCAGAGAACACTACCCTTCTGTTCCCCAAGCCCGAGCTGTGTGTCACTATACAAAGACCATAGAGCATGAGATAGGAGAACTCTAGGGGAGAAGTAGCAGTATCTGACCTCCAGAAACAAAACATCATTAGAGAGAGATCATGTGAGGTCAAGCCCAAGCCCCAAATCATACAGGACAGCCAGAGGTCTGACCTTCATGACCTGTGCCCTTAGCCACATCCCCACCCTCTATGGGCCCCACTTGGGGCAAGGGCAGGTTTCCTGCCAAAGCCCTTGTTGCCACTGCCACGGGGCCCCCTAAGGATGCAGCTGCCCGGGCCTGTCGCCTCCTTTCCCGGTACAGCTCCCGGAGGCGGGCAAGGGCACAGTGGACACCCCGGGACACCCGTAGGCTGCGCTCCCGGTTTGGATCATTCTCCATGAGGACCCGTAAACCAGCAGCAAAGTGAGACAGGGCCTGGGCCAGGTGCTCGGTGCTCAGAGCACCCACATCAGCTTCCTCGGTCCCCGCACCCACCATAGCCTCTGTGAAATCTGGCTCTGGTTTTCTGGAGACCGAGACTTTCCCTGCCTTCCAGGTCAACCCAGAGCCGCTGATGTCCCCATCTTCTGCATCCTGGGGGCTGCCGTGGGGTGGGGGCTCCCCATGGGCCTGCAGGAGGCTGGCGACATCGGCCTCAGCTGCATCTCCAAGGCCCACATGGCTGGCTAGTGCGACAATGCTGCGACGGAGCTGAGGCACGGTGTCAGGCTCGGGGGTGCCAGAGGGGACACACTCGGGCCAGAGCTTCCTCCAGGCACTATTCATGGTGGCAGGCTGCAGCTCTGCCCAGGCTTCGGCTATATTGTCCACAGCAGTCACAACAGTGTAGCTGCGCCAGAATTCCCGCACAGAGGGCCGGTCTTCCCCAGCTGTCTCCTGGACCAGCTGGCTGAGCGTGCGGCGCAGGTAATGGGCCTTGAATGTGGCAATGACACCCTGGTTCATAGGCTGGATCAGGGCCGATGTGTTCTTGGGCAGGAACTCAACTCGCACGTGGGCTGAGAGGCCACCCAGATGAGCAGGGTGGCAGGGCGCGCCATCCAAGAGCAACAGGGCTCGGTGTGGGAGGCCGTGGCTGGCACAGTAGCTCTCCACGGCAGGGCAGAAGCAGCCAGTAAACCACTCCTGGAAGATGCTGGGTGTCAGCCAGTCATTGCGGTTAGAGCGCCAGACCACAGGAAGGCTGGCCTTGGAGCAGCCCTTGAGGGCACGTGGGTTCTCTGAGGGGTACACCAGCAGCGGCTTCAGTTTGAAATCACCGGCTGCATTGCCACCAAGCAGCAGAGTCAGGTGGTCCTTGGAGGCCTTGAGGCCAGGCCCGGCTGCCCCTTCCAGGGCCAGCAGCATGCGCTCCGGGAGCCGCTTCCAGAACAGGCCCGTCTCGTCCACATTGAAGACCTGGCATGGTGAGTAGCAGCCCTCCTCCAGAATGGTGCGCAGCACTGGGGGATAGTGGGCAGCAGCCTGGGTGTCAGCCACAGATGGCTCATCTGTCAAAAGCACATTGTGGCGAGCCTTGAATCGGGCAAACCAGCCATTACTGGCCCCAAAGGTCTCAGCCTGAGTGCCATTACCCTGCTCATGCTGCAGCTGCACAAAGAGCCGTCGTGCCTTCTCCTGGATGAGCAGTGTGCTGATGGGCAGGTTCTGCCGCTTTTGCTCCTCAATCCATAGGCTCAGCAAGCGTTCCATATGGCCCATCACCACACCCCGGCAGCGGGTCAGCTGCGTGGCGCTGACAGGGGTGGCTGCCTGAGAATTGGCCCGGATCTTGTCCTTGTTGACACGGATGGAAGCGACGGTAGAGGTGGCCAGCCCCAGGGCCCGGGCAATCTGAGTCAGCTTCTCACCTTCCTCAAACCTCCGGAGCACCTCTAACTTCACATGCAAGGTGATGGACTTTCGGTCCCGCTTGGCACTGTGGCGGAGGCCAATCCCACCAAGGGGTGCCTTCCCCGACATTGGCAGCCGGGGAGTTGTCTTCATTCCACCTCCCTGAGCCACGCACCTTGATGAGGTCTCTCCCCAGGGCCTATCCACAGTAGCTACCAATGTGCCCCCAATGGCAGCCTCTTGGCCTCTCCTGCCATACCTGCCTCTGCCTGTAAGACAAGGACACATGGGCATTAATGTGTAAGTACATGGAGGTCCCGACCACCAGGTGGCCTTCCCATGCTCTGACACAGAGCACCCAGCCCTGCTGACCACTGCCTCAGAGGCATGCCCAGCCCCTTCTTTCCCTACTGCTAAAAACACTGCACACACACTTCCAAGCATTCTTTGCATCTAGAGGAGCATGTCACTTAGTTTTAGCTTATGAGATCAAGACAAGTCTGCTAGGAGACTTTGCTCTCTTCCCCCAGCAAACCTCTTGTAACCACGAGACAGTCTAGAAACCACCTCCCACACACTGATGAGCAAATGAGCTACCCATTTCCATGCTTCCCACCCAAAGACATCAAACATCAGTGTTTGTTGCTCCTAAAGACATCCACATCCTAATCCCTATTAATAAATTACCTTATATGGCAAAAGGGACACTGTAGATGTGATTAAGTTAATAATCTTGAGATAGGGAAATTATCCTGGCTTATTCAAATGGGCCCTACATGTAATCTGAGGGGTCCTTGCAAGAGGAGGCAAAAGATTTCACTCAGAAGGCGGCAATGTGACCACTAGAGCCTAGAGCCTCCAGAAGGAACCAGCCCGGCTGATACCTTGATTTTAGCCCACTGAGACCCATCTCAGATTTCTGACCTCCAAAACAATACATTTGTGTTATTTTAAACCACTCATTTTTCAGTAATACCTTACAGCAGTCATAGGAAACTAACGCAGGAGGAAACCAACCTAATTCGTGCCACCCCATAGAGCACCTGGGAATAGAGGAGGAAGGTGGTTCTCCGTACCACAGCCACAAAGATTCAGTAAGCACTAAGATCCTGTTCCCCCCTCTCTGCTCAGAGTTTTCCCAGCTCTGAGTAAAAGCCACCATCCTCACCAGATTCGTCAAGCACTTCAAAGCCTCCTCCTTTACTTTGCCCACTCCTGCCCACATCCTTGGGGCAGACTAAGGGTGCTCCTGTTTCCTTCAGCCCGGGGCCCAGGCTCTTCCCTGTTATCTGCATGGCTCGCTCCTTCTCCTACAGATCTCTGCTCAAATGTAACCTAATCAAAAAGGCCCGCCCCACCTACATTTTATTATGCATCTGTCACATGCTGCCTGAGGGCAGGAGCTGTGTCTGCAGAGCTCTCTCTTGTGTCCCCAGCCCTGGGAATAGTGCATCCAACTTGCTGATGAAATTATTAAATGAAGTACAGCGGTGGGAGGCAGGTTTCTCACCTTGTCCCTATCGCATTACGAACCATGTGAAAGTAGCACCTGATCAAACAGTAAAAAAAAAAAAAAAATTGAAGGAGTGCCTGTCAAAGCATGGACAAATGAGTGAAGAAGGTCCGTTTTTACAGCGGCTATGGCACCTATCGGTATCGCATCAATACCTTCAAGGATTCATGGGCTGCACATGCTTGAAACAAGGTGGCACAGGACCCTCGAGCCTGGAGGCAGTGAAAGGTGGGAGGGCATGGGAAAGGTTCCTCTTGCCTGGAAGCCGTCCCCGAATTCTGAACCCCTCACGCGCCATTGTTCTTTCTCCAACATTCACGCCTCCCTCTGCTCACCCACAATTTTAAATGAATTCACCCATGTGTTCATTCACTCATTCCCTCCCTCCCTCCCTCCCACTCTCGTGAGAAAGTCTCCAAGCGCGCCGCCGGGGAGGCTCGCCGCCCAGTGTCTGGGTGGAAGACAGGGTTCGTCCCCGTGAGACTACAATTCCCAGGCAGCCGCGGGGCCGCCGGAAGCTTCGATTGGCCCACCCGCGCTCGTCCCGGACTGAGCGCGCAGCGGCCTCTGTCCGTTCCCTTCCCGAGAAACGGCGCCCCAGCCCCAGCCACCGGAGCCGGGGCCCCCGCGCGGCCGCCCGCCCTCACCTCCGGACCGCGACGCGGGCCGGCTGCTTCAGCTCTTCCCCACCTCCTGCCTTACACCGCCCTTTTCCGGAGGCGGCCGAGCTCAGCCGCCATGTTCCCGGCGGAGGCGGAAGATTGCCGGCGACTGCCGAGATTGGCGGAGTCCGCGTGGGGCCCGCCCCCGACGGCGCTCTAAACCCTGCGCCGGGCGCTCCCAAGCCCGCCGGGAAATGTAGTTCGGCGTCGAGGACGCAGGGCATAGAGGCTAGCCGGAGGCGCTGGAGGCTGCCTCTGCCCGAAGCGGGCTTTCTGCTTCCTTTCTCTCGAATTTTCCCCGCCGCTGACTTTCTGTGTCCTTACTTCATCCTCCCTATCTCCTTCCAATTCTGGCTCTGTTTTCTCTTTCTCTCGGTTTGTCCCCCATCCTGGAGAATTAATTCCGCTGAGACTGTCAAGTGTTTTTTTAAAGGTTAAAAATAAACTCAATGAGGGGCACCTGGGTGGCTCAGTAGTTAAGCGTCTGCCTTCGGCTCTGGTCATGATCCCAGCCTGCTTCCCCCTCTCCCACTCCCCCTGCTTGTGTTCCCTTTTTCGCTGTGTCTCTGTCAAATAAATAAAATCTTTTAAAAATAAATAAATAAATAAACTCAATGAGTGCGTGTCAAAGAGCTATTTACCTCATGGAGGAAACTAGCAGCAGGATGACATAGGTAGTTCCAGGAAGATGAGGAAGAAGGAACAGAAAGGGTGAAAGAAATGAGGAACACTGAAATAAAAGCCCAAAGTCGAATGAGTGCCCTACAGGGCAGCGGCCCCGGGTGTCTCAGTTCCTGCTCAGTGTCCTAGGGGTGATACAACTCTAACCCCAAGCATTTGCAGCCTGGATTCTGATCGAAAGGTAGTTCCGAGACTACTTGGTATACAATGCTAGGAAATGCAGAGAGGGCTCCCAACCATCTTTTTTCGTCCTATTGTCAAATTTTGGATACGTTTTCCTAACAAATCTACCTCCAACTGTCTCTCTTCTTGCTGTCACCCTTCTCCAGGTCTTTGAAAACTCTCCCTCCATCCATCTTTGGTGTATCTCAAAGTCCTGTCCCTTTCTCTCCCTTTGCCTCTGTATGCCTGTATTCCTTGTCTGTATCTTGTCTTTGTGAACCTCTTCTTCCTCTCCCTCTGTCTCTCCTTTCATACCCATCCCTTCCTGATCTCCCTCCCCCTTGCTAACTTTTCTGACACTCCTGCCTACCCGGGCCTGACTCTCTGATCCTCTGGCTTCTTATCACATTCTCTAAGTCTCTGAGAGTGGAAATCCCTCCCTGATGACTTTCTTTCCTATCGGTGTCTCGGTCTCTGTATCTGTTCTATTACGTTCACCGTCTCTCCTCAAACCTCTCTGCCCCTGAGTAGGCCCCCACAGGCTCTGGGCCTCTCCCTGCCCGTCTTTGTGTCTGTCTCTCCTCACTGTCTCGCTCGACTTCCCTGCCCCTGTCGGCTTCCCAAGCCCTACCCCACCTTCCCCATCGCCTCTCAGATGCCCACCAGGTCCCCGGGGTTGCGCTGGAGACCGTCGGGTCGGCCCCACGGTTACCATGGAGACTCCCAGGCCCGCCTACCGCTCACGAACACAAAGGAACGTCGCGCGGCGCTAGCGCACACGGAGGGCCCAGCCGACTACATTTCCCAGAAAGCACTGGGCCGGGCCTCTTTGCAATTTGCAGTCCGGGCGGGCAGTGGAGGAGTGCCCCTTTTTTCTGCAAAAGGTTGCCATGGAGACATGGGCTGACGGCGTCCTAGCGAGAGCGGTGATTGGTGCAGAACCCTGCTAATCCCTGGAAGGCCCGTCAAAAATTGAGGCAAACGTGGTGGGGGGCATGCGCGGTTGGGAAGGCGGTGCTGCTGTCTGTGGCCCCCTGAGAAGCTTGCGCACGTCGACGGGGCACGGACGCCTGGATCCGAGGCGGGGAGCGCGGGAAGAGGCGGCCGGGCGTGTGATCTGATCGTTGCGAACAACGCTACCCCGGGGAACGGGAGGAGGGGGGAAAAGGAGGCGAGGGTGGGGGAAGGGCAAGGAGGCACTCGGGCTGATGAGCATTCTGGGAGACATAGTCCGGCCGGGGAGGGGGAAGTCGGCGAGTGCGCATGCTTAGGAGCGCGGAGCGGCCGGCTGAGCGTGGAGGTGAGGGCGGGGACCTCTCAACGAGGAAGGCTTGGGGGGGACCGGGGCGGCGGCCGCGAACTCTTGGATTCCCGCTACCCGGCGGGACCCGGAGCGCAGAGCAGGGACCTAGCACTCCTTCTCGGCGAGCCGGGCGCTGTCGCACGATGCTCTTCAATCACTGTGCATTGCCACAGCGACAAGGTCTAGGAGCCCCGCCCCCCGGTTGCCATGGCGGCACTAAACCCGCCGGGGGAAGCGGGGGCGGGGGGGGGGGGGCGTCTCTCGAAAGTGGAAGTTGCTCTTCAAGATTTCTGGTAAATGTAGTTCAGGAAGCTTCGCAGTGGCTGGCTGGCTTAAAAATGGTCCAACTTTCTCCCAGGGTTGCAGGTTGGCCTGGAACCTTGAGGAACGGAAATTTGACCCACGGGATCCGGCGGCCCTGGAAATCGAATCTACTCACTTAATAAACTCAGATTTCTTCACAAAGCCCGCACATTATTCCCAGCTGCAAAGGGAGCAGCAATGGCGGGGGAAGGGGGGCATCCCCTCTTACGGGGGACGGTAAAGATGGGGAAACTGAGGTTCACAGAAACTCGCCAGGGTTACGTAGCAAATAGGCAAGATCAGAATCTTCGACCTTGCTTGCAGGCGCCTGGTCCAGTTGTCTTGGTGCCTTTGTGGGCCCCCTGGAAGCTCCCATCACCTCCTAACCCTGCCTAAATCAGGAAGCTGAAGAGATGGTGGGGCCTTACATGGTGTGATAAGTTGGGCCTATTCAGAGGATGGGGCTGAATGGGGGGGGAGAGGGGGATGCTGCCTGGAGGCGTGGCCACAGAGTTGACCTTGCCCATCTGTGGGGGTGGGGAGCAGGTGGAGGGAGGCTGCCCGGTGGAACGAAGCTGAGAGACTCGATGGGAGAGTGGGTGGTGCAATGATGGGCTGGTGTTCCGAGGGGGGAGGGGGGCCTGTAGTGGTGCTTATGCCTACGTGGTAAATATTGCAAATGTCATTTACCTGGCAGTGGGAGAGCCGCAGGGCAGGGATGGGGTGGTGCATGTAGAAGAGCAGGATTTAAGGGAGGAGTGCCTTCTATGCCTAAGAAGCACCCTGTGTTTGGAACAGGGGAATGTCAGAGACTGTGTGTAGGTCCCAGCTAGAGACCAGAGACACAGGTGCCTGGCATGTGACCACCACTCTGTGCCTCAGTTTTCTTATCTGCCTTCTACTCAGTGGAGGTCTGAAGATGGAACAACGAAGCATACAGTAGACGCTCAAATAAGCATTTGCTGCCACTGTTTGTCCTCGCAGTAGCCTCATCCTATTCCTCTCCTAGGGGAAGACATTATCCTCGGAGCCCCCGCCCAGTCTTTCCAATGAGGCCTGCAGCACTAGGCTCCCCAGGTCACATGTCCCTGGAAGATGAGGGACCTGTCATGGTGAAGCTGGAGGACTCTGAGGAGGAGGGTGAGGCCGCCCCGTGGGATCCCGGCCCAGAGACTGCACGCCAGCGTTTTCGACACTTCCACTATGAGGAGGAAGAGGGTCCCCGTGAGGCCCTGGCCCGGCTCCGGGAGCTGTGCCGCCAGTGGCTGCGGCCCGAGGCGCACTCCAAGGAGCAGATGCTGGAGCTCCTGGTGCTGGAGCAGTTCCTGTGCGCACTGCCCCCTGAGATCCAGGCCCGTGTGGAGGGACAGCGGCCAGGCAGCCCTGAGGAGGCCGCTGCCCTGGTCGAGGGGCTGCGCCAGGAGCCAGGAGGCCCTCGCAGATGGGTGAGTCAGTGGCCCTGAGCCAGGGTCCAGGCTGGAACAGTATCCAGCTCTGCCTCACCCTGGAGAGTGCCATGCTTGACCAGACACCTGTTCCTTGTGGTTTGGAAGTGGTCACTTGCAGCAGACCTTGTGTGAGAGTAGCCAAGCTTCCAGGGCCAGCTTCACTGGCCCATCCCTGCATCACGTGGAGTCATGGACGCGGGAGGGGATGCAGGGTGGAGAGAGAGGGAGACCACTGGGCATTCGTGGGTGTAAGCAGCAGGAGAGCAAATGCAGGTGGTCCCTTCACTCCTGACTCAGTGCTGGGGGGATGTGGGTCCATGGAGAACCTCATGGGTCAGGACCTGGGGTCCTGTGATGGGGAAGATGCCCATGAACCCCCTGCTTGTGCCCAGCCGAACTCTCTGCATGGGTCCCTGATGGAGGGGGGGCGCCTCCCCAGGTCACAGTCCAAGTGCAGGGTCAGGAGGTGCTATCAGAGAAGATGGAGCCCTCCAACTTCCAGCCCCTCCTTCAAACCAAGCCTCAGACTCCAGAATGTGGGCCTAGGACACCATCTGAAGCCACACAAGAGTCACCACTGGGCCTTCGGGTGAAAGAGGAGCCCACGGTTACAGAGGACCCAGGTGAGGGCGGCCAAGGCATGCATGGCCCAAAGCCTGATTGGGTAGACCAGAGGAGTCTGGCCTCAACAGCCGGAAGGTCACCTGCTGGATGGAACTATTCATGTGCACTGGTGTGCCCCCCTCCCCCCCCCCCTCCCGGCACTCCATCCTGCCTAGCCAGTGGCCATCACTGTTCCTCACATGCCAAGTCTGTCACAGCTGTGTTTCTGTGCTCTCCCCCGGCATGGCGCAGGCTGTTGGGGTTTCGAGGTGGGGAGGCATGTGGGGTTCGCTCCCCAAGGAGATCCATTGAGAGACGATAGCTGGTCTCTGGGGAGCAGGCAGCAGGCTTGAATATGGGTAGGTGTGGCTGAGGGAGGACCCCAGGGTGCTGGGAGGCATGCCCCTCCCTATTTTACTCCTTCCAGGCAGATGCCAGCGCTGGCCACCCACACTCTGCATCATTCCTGTGTGGACCCTGGTGCAGTGCTCCTCTCCACCCTCACTGGCCTTCCTGCCCAGGGCTCATGCAGGGGTGCAGGGCACAGACCTGAGTCTGTCTCATCCTGCTACAGCTCCTCCTATGGCGTTCCAGGGGGTTCTGCCTTACTCCAGCCCCAAGCGTGGATTCCAGCATCTGGCATATCACTGAGGAGGGCAGTGGGGTGGGGACACCCTTGGGCCACCTGACCCCAACCTTCCTCTACAGAGCTTCTGGATTCTGGGCCTGCAGCCAACCCCCAAGAAGCCACTTCCACTCTCCTGCCTGAAGAGGCCCAGGTGAGCCCCGTACAAGCCATCCTCCCTGTGTGGGGAGCCTCAGTGGGTGGGGGTCGGGTAGGTCCCTCTCTGAGCCTAGCTGGGCATAGACGAGCAGCGACCACTGTGGTTTCAGGGCTGTGAGATAGTGCTGGACCAGGCCTCTCCCCACAGCGAGACTGGGCTTGAGGGGCCTTCATGGAGGGAGCATCCTGGGGCCCTGTGGCAGGAGGAAGCTGGGGGCATCTTCCCTCCAGGTGAGTGAGACCGGGCATGGTGGGGCTGGGCCCTCTGCATGGGCAGCACCACATTCACCTAACCCACTCCTGGCCCTGCCCTCTCACTCCAGCATCTCCAAGCTCCTCCATTCTGTGGACTGTTTCTTGCAACATATAACCTTCTGTGCTCTCCCCTGGCATGGAGTAGGCTGTTGGGGTTTTCCTCAAGCCCTCTGCTGACTTCAGGCTCCCTCCAGGTGCTGCTCCCCACCACAGTAAAACCTGAGAACAGGGCCTGTATTCCCCAGACCCCCATTCTCTCCCAGCCCTAGCATTCCTGGAAGGTCCATAGATTCTGGGTTTGCCCTACTGATTGGGTAGCAGGGGAGGGAGGGTCTGGATCTGGCAAGGACCTCCAGTTAGCAGACAGTGGGTGGGCAGGAGGGACCTGGATCAAGCAGGACAGAAGAGGAAGCCAATGGCCCCCTGCTGTCCACCTCAGCTATACTGCTCTCAGTCTGCCATCATCCAGTGTCTCTGCCTCTTCTTCCTTGTTCCCTGGACCCCTCCTCTTTCTTGGTTTACTCCCTTGCTCTAGTGGACCTTCCTGGGAACTCTGGTATGGGAGATAAAAAGTTCTGAGGTGCTACATCTCTAAAATACACTTACCTAACATTCTGTATTAGGCTACTTGGGCTGCATGAAGAATTCTTGTTACTAATTCAGTTTCAAAGCTTTTTCATCATCGTCGGTAAGCCTTTTCAGTTTGAAATTCATACCTCTCATTTTTGGGAAACTGGCTTGAATTGTTTCTCTGATTTCCTTTCCCTCCATTGTTTTGTTCCCTTCTTTCTGGAATGCGTATTACTTGGCTGTTGGCTATATTGCTTCCTCAGTATGGTCTCTTAACCTCAACCCAGCCTTTTGCCAGGATGGGGAGAAGAGATCCAGGAATCAGAGCTACAGCAGTGCCCACTATTTGCTCAGAATTCTGTGCAGACAGAGCCCAGGGCTAGTCCATGCAGTAGTTCTGAACAGCCTCCCCAGCGTGCTTCGTGGCCCTGCCCCTTCACCTCCATGGCCAGAGCTACCTGGTACCTCTAACTCCCAAACTTTTCTTCGAGTCTTCTTTGGGGTCAAACAGAGTGATTTTTTTTTTTCTTCCATTTTCCTCACTGCTGGCTTAGTATTCACTTTCTACAATCTGCTACACAGTTACTCTTTGCCCCTCAGCTTTCCAGAATAGAAAATGTCAGAGGTTTGTTTGTTTCCTTTCCTCTTCTTTAACCTTTGTGGATTTTATGCCCCAAGAAACAAAAACTTTGTTGTTGTTTTTACTGTTGTTTCAGGATGGGACTAACTTAAATAGATACCATTATTAGCCAGAAGTCCCTATTCGCTATGTTTTTTGTCAGTAAGGATTCTAAGTCTTTCTTTTTTCATAATGTCCTTGTTTCATGGATGCCGATCCGTCCTTTGAGGATTTGGACATACTTTAGTGTCCTTTGCAAACTGGTTAGCTAGTTTGGTTTCTTCAGGTGTGAATTCTCCCAACTGCTTGCACTGTTGACAGTCTGCCCTTCATAGCTGTAGGACCTTCCTGTTTGTCCCCACATGAGACAAGCATCCTGGTGGGTGAGAGGCTGCCACAGGATCCATCATAACCCTGAAGTGGAAGGATCATCTGGGCCCCAGGATGTTCAGTGAAGGTACTTCTGGAACCCAGCCAAAAGCAAGCAGCTTATTCCTGGCCAGGTCTGTGGGAGGACTGCACTAACCTAGCCCATGTCCTCAACCCCGAGCTTCATGACAGAGCCTGGCTTTAATCCCCAGGTCTAAAGCCCCAGGGGCTTTAGAGCTCACTGCACAGGCTCTGGATTCCTGAACCTCACCAACTGTCCTTTCTTCCTTTGGAGTTGCCCAAAATATTTTTAAATTTTTTCTCAGGTTCTGTTGTCGTTTCTGCATGTTGGAGTTGAGGGAGTAGGATCTGGCACATCCCCCATCTGCTATTTTAGTCTTCAGCTGGCTGGCCAGGCTCGGCCTTGTCGGCTTTGTGGCCGACCACTGCCTCCAGTTTGGACCTGCTTCTCTCTCAGTTCACAACCCCACAGTCTTTCAGCTTTCTCCATCCACACTGGTGGCACCACCTCAGACTCCTTGGCGGGTTCCTTCTTTGCAGCCCTGTTCTCTCCGTTGACAACCGCGGCTCCCAGCTTCAAACACTCATTCCCTTCAGTTACCTTGGTCTCTCCATTAAGGATGCCTGGCTGCTCTCCTCACCCCTCAACCAACCATCTCTGCAGCCACTGTCTTCATCATAATATTGTGAAAGGCTAATGCATTCACATGTTAGAAAATTCAAAAGGCACAAGTAAGTATACAGTATAATGCCCTTCTCTTGCCTGTGTTACGCAGTCTTGTTCCCCAACAGCCAACATTACCATCTTCTTGTGCATCCTTCCAAAAAGATTTTGTGCATAAAAGAGCAAACACACATTCAAATACATACCTTTTTCCCCCTTTAAAACACACGTGAAAGTCTAATCACCATGTTTCACACCTGACATTTTTTGTGCATCTTCCCACTTCACACAGCAACAAATACTCTTGTCTCTGGACAGCTGCATGGAGCCCCACTGTGGCTCACTGTGGAGACACTTATCCATCCAGGCAGGCTCCTGCTGACATTCCTTTGGGTGGAGTTTCAGTGACGGACTGAGAAATCTCGTATATATAGGTCATTTTGGACAGTGGGGAACACAACTGTTGAAGTGCATGAAAGTGAAACTTTCATTTTAATGTATTTTGCCCCACTGACTTCCCATTAAATGCTCACCAGCAAGGCATGCAAACACCTGAGTCCCTCTGGGGAGAGTATGAAAATGGTAGTCGAGTACAGCTCTAATTTGCAGTTTCTTATTAGGTGTGAACTCAGCATATTTTATGGGATACAGCATTAGTTACATCCTTTGCCTGTGTTTGTCAGGTCATCGGTCTTGTTGATTAATTGGAGCTCTTTACTTAGAAGCTTAATTAGCCCTTTGCTTCTGGAAAATGTGTTTGTCATTCCTTTTTTGGATCCAAGGTTGTCTTTGCTGTGCACAAATGATCTCCTTTGATACAGTATAATTTATTACTTTACTGTGGCAACTTACGGATTTTCTGTCACCCACTGAAGCCCTTGCTAGTCTCTTAGTCTCCCTGATTTAACTTCCTTCAGCTTTTCTCTTTCTCTAGCCCCTGCTTCTCAGCTGCATTTGCTCACACCTCCCTTCTCACACAGCATCTAATGCTGGAGTGCCACAGCGTGGCTAGGACCTGCTCCTTCTTTCCATAGAGACCCACTCTTATTTGATCACACACGGGCCAGGGCTCTGTGTGCCATGCATATGCCACAGCACCCACGTTCACATTTCCCTGAAGCCCGAGCCCCAACTCCTGCACCCCACAGCCTGCATGCAGTCTCTCTCCCTCAGATGCCCCATGGACATCCCAAGCAAGGCACATCAGACCAAAGTCCTGCCGCCTACCCCCCTCCCATCCCCCTTTCTTTCCTGTTGGGTCCACTTCCAACCCCCCTCAGACCCACGCACTTCTGTGTATTTGTAGAAACCATCATCACTAGTGCAGGGCCACCTGCCCCATATCTGCCCTACAGCCCTTCCAGAAAGGCAATGCTTGCAAACTGAAGCCAGGCCTGGAAAGCTTGTCGCCATCTTCTGAATCTTCCTCATGCTAGGTTCTGTCCCACTGATGCCTCTGTAGGGAGGCCTGCACAGAAAGAATCCCTGCCACCTCTGTCAGCCTCACTGGCTAGTTTCAGGTCCTTCTAGTTCACCCTGTTTACCATGGGCTGGAGTGGGGCCAGGCGCAGTTCTCTTGGTATGAATGAGGGATCCCCTTGTGCAATGCAGGGTTTGCGCTCCACATGGACAGCATCTCTGCTGGCCCAGGCACTGTGAGCCCCCACCTCCACATCCCCTGGGACCTCGGCATGGCCGGCCTCACCGGCCGACTCCAATCACCCTCCCGTGAAAGTGGCTTCTCACATGCACTCGTGCTCCCCAGTGGCCCTGGAGGTGAGCAGAACCCCACGAACGAGGGTCCCCGCCAGCTCCTGGGCCCCATACTGCCCACTGCCCGCTGGCGCGCGCCCAGGACCCAAGGCCGGGGCCGGGGCCGCCCCAGCACAGGCCCCGCGGTGGGGCGGGGCGGCCGCTGCGACGTGTGTGGGAAGGTGTTCAGCCAACGCAGCAACCTACTGAGGCACCAGAAAATACACACGGGAGAGCGGCCATTCGTGTGCGGCGAGTGTGGCCGAAGCTTCAGCCGAAGCTCGCACCTTCTGCGCCATCAACTCACGCACACCGAGGAGCGGCCGTTTGTGTGCGGCGACTGTGGCCAGGGCTTCGTGCGCAGCGCGCGCCTGGAGGAGCACCGGCGAGTGCACACAGGCGAGCAGCCCTTCCACTGCGCTGAGTGCGGCCAGAGCTTCCGGCAGCGCTCCAATCTGCTGCAGCACCAGCGCATCCACGGCGACCGCCCGGGCCCCGGCACCGCGCCCAGCGCGCCCCCCACGCCTCCCGGCGCACCGGAGCCCCCCGGCCCCTTCCCCTGCAGCGAGTGCCGCGCGAGCTTCCCGCGGCGAGCCGTGCTCCTGGAACACCAGGCAGTGCACACGGGTGACAAGTCCTTTGGCTGCGTGGAGTGTGGCGAGCGTTTCGGCCGCCGCTCCGTGCTGCTGCAGCACCGGCGAGTGCACAGTGGCGAGCGGCCCTTCGCCTGCGCCGAGTGCGGCCAGAGCTTCCGGCAGCGCTCCAACCTCACACAGCACCGGCGCATCCACACAGGCGAGCGGCCCTTCGCCTGCGCCGAGTGCGGCAAGGCCTTCCGCCAGAGGCCCACGCTCACGCAGCACCTGCGCGTGCACACAGGCGAGAAGCCCTTCGCCTGCCCGGAGTGTGGCCAGCGCTTCAGCCAGCGTCTGAAGCTCACGCGCCACCAGCGGACGCACACCGGGGAGAAACCCTACCACTGCAGCGAGTGTGGCCTGGGCTTCACCCAAGTCTCGCGGCTCACCGAGCACCAGCGTATCCACACGGGTGAGCGGCCCTTTGCCTGCCCTGACTGCGGCCAGAGCTTCCGGCAGCACGCCAACCTCACACAGCACCGGCGCATCCACACAGGCGAGCGGCCCTACGCGTGCCCGGAGTGCGGCAAGGCCTTCCGCCAGAGGCCCACGCTCACGCAGCACCTGCGCACCCACCGGCGCGAGAAGCCCTTCGCCTGTCAGGATTGTGGCCGCCGCTTCCACCAGAGCACTAAGCTCATCCAGCACCAGCGCATCCACAGCGCGGAGTAACCCCCTTCACTGCGCCTCGGCTTTGGGCCTTTTGTCGGGGGAGGGGAGCGTGTTCGCTCAGAACACTTACCTCACAGGGTGGTTGTGAGGCCTCTCATCAAGTTTGGGTACAGGCGGGCCCCCCCCCCCCCCCCCAGGACGTGGCTCCCAGTAGGTGCTCAATAAACAGTAGGCAGAACACGGGTCTGGAAATGTGCCCACTCAGCGCCTCCCCACCTGCGCGGGTCCCTCTGCCCACCCCCGCCTTCCCCCACTTCGGCAACCGTGCAGTCTCTGTGAGAGCCAAGGACTCCTAGCAGCCCCCCGAGGTCTGTGGGTGCTGCCTGTTTGCCCATGGTGCCTTCCACCCTCACAGCCATGGGCCAAGCCAACTGCCAGGTGAGAACTGGCCCGGTTTTCCCCTGCCAGCCAAGATCATCAAGTGCAGTAGAAGTAGCAGACTGGTGCCCAGCAGGCCAGAGCTGGGGATGTTTGTAAAACTTTAAACCTAGGAAGCCATTTCTTAGGCATAAAAGCTAGGTTTTATCTGGAAATCTAGATTCTTTCACGCATGTTAACTACCAGTGGACGCTGAGGTTAGGTTCCCCTTAGGATAGTACCCCAACCAGTCCAGGAATCAAAGTCCACTAGAGGCCCCAGGCCAGTTCCCTAGCCCTCTAGTGATCACTCCCATTCCGAGGGCTGCAGCTGCCGCCAACCCTGGCCAGGTGTGCGACCCCCAAGGGCTCCCCCACACTGGGTGGTGGTCTCTACGAGGAATGTGTTCAGTGGCAAGTCACAGGAAACACAGCTGTTAGCAGCTTCCAGGAAAGTACACATGCTGCCAGTGCAGGTTCGGCGTCTTACACACTGGGCTGGCATCTCTGGAACCCTCTAGACTTTTCCCATGCCACTGCCTCTTGGTCTAGTTACCTTACCCTTCCATCCCGTTGTCCAGGCCCTTGACCTAGCACCTCCCCCCACCTCCAACCGGTGGGTACCTTGGGGGTGCCAAAAGCAGGATGAAAAGCAGTGCCAAAGAAAAGATCTTCATGCATCAGGATCTGGCTTGGGACCTAAACCCCACTCTGGGCAGGGGTCAGCCTGCCCTTGGCCTGAGGGGTTCTAAACACAATCTTTTGAGGCTAATGTGTCCAAGCTTTTTCCAGGGATACAGCTGGACTTTGCTACAAGACTGGGGTCCTGAAATCAGGGAAAGAAGGTAAGCCAGCCTCGGCCAGAAGCTTCCAATGGTCACCCCAGAGAAGGTGTGTTCCCTGCCTCTTTCCCTCCGCTACTCCACCCCTCTCTCCACCTCCCCCCTGGCCTACCCCTAGCCAGAACCAGGGCCACTCTGGTCAACAGCTCCCCATGTGTAGAGGCACTGCCATGTGGCACAGTCAGGAGGAGGGGAGAGGTCCCCTGGGCCCTATGCCAACACTTACTGTCCTCTCCAACCACAAACGGAACTCTGAGGACCCTGACCTGGGATATACTAATCAGAGGGGAGGAAGGCAGTCACTGGGTCCCTAGGTGGAGGCAAGGAGTCCGATTAAGGAAGGCACACAAACACTGAGGTAGCTAGTGCTGTGAGGTTAAGTACTGCCAGAACTTCATAAATCCTGTAACGGATTTTTTTCAAATCCTGTGTGAATTTTACAATCAGAAACAAAGAGAACAAGAAAGCTCACTCATGTTTTGATCATCTTGGTGTCTGAGGAACAGGAAGAGAAATCTGCACACATATGACTAAAGAATTTGAAATTACACACAGGAAAAATTATAACACACATGAAAGGCGTGAGCCATCAGGCCAGGGCCCCATGCCCAAAGTCGTAAGTCCACGGACCCACCTGCTGAATCAGTCCTCTAAGAAAAAAACTTGAAGTGATGTGAGAGCCCCCCACGAAGGGCCATTTCTGCAGTTGGCGGGGACACCCCTGCAAGCCAGGCTGGGGTTCGTGAACCCAAATGCTACCATACTATCAGCAGGGCTGAGGACTTGCAGAGAATGACCACTCAGCCTCACTCAGCCAGAACCACTGGAGGAAGCCAGGAGAGGAACCCCTAAGGCACTGGTCATCTGGGGAAGCTACAACGGTGTCCAACCAGCCTGTCCCTGGATCATCTGTACCTGAGCCCATACTGTTTGCTCCCAAGCACGGCCTCCCCATGCCACATCCATCCAGTTATTCTTACCCCCAACCCCAAGCTACCCAAGTCTGTCCAATTTTCTCCATCCCCCAGCACTGCTCTGATCCCAGCCACAAATCTCTATAGCCTGGAGGCCCACAGCACTCCGCCTCCCTTCCCTGCCTGCTTTTGCCACTCCTTTCCAAAACAGACCCTAGCTTCTCAGTGACAGGTCCCAGAGGCTATGCTAATACCCCAGGTGCACTTCCACCCTCACTCTTCACCTGTCATATGCTGCCCGATCCATCCAGGTGCCAGCCCCAGCTTCCCTCAGGACCTTTGATATGCTGAGCCCTATGCTGCCTGCCAAGAGGATGCAGGCCCAAAGGGTACAAGCACCCTCACCACTCAACCACCTGTGCCCCTCTGCCATGAGAGTAACAAAGAAAACGCAGGTGCACCACTTCTAATCCAAAACCCTGCCTCAGCTCAGCCATCCCCTCCTCCCTGGTCCAGGCCCCGTGACCCCTTTTCCCAGCATTTTGTTACATGGTTAAGTCTTCCCCACTGACTGTGGGAAAGCCATGAGATCAGAGACCACAAGAATCTAGCTTTGACTAGTGTAGCATCACTTGTCCAGGGAACCAATACCCTATCCTCAGATGGACCTTCAACTGATGAGCCTCAGAAACTGGCCTGAGGACGGACACATGGTTTAGGCTGACCAATAAGGCAACACCCCTGAGACTCTGGCTGGAAACAGAATGGCCATCCCCCCTCACCTGGCGATGGCGTGTACAACAATAGACAGGAAGAGCAGAGTGGCTGAGAAGAACAGAGAGGAAGGGATAGAGGAAGGCTGAGTCTGGAGGGGCCATCTGAGTCCCGTGACCAGCCACGTCTGAAGCCTAAGAACGCGGGGACGGTTGCAGCGTCAGCCCCAAACGTGAGCTGTTTGAGGTTTCTGAGTCCTCATCCTCATCCTGGCACCTCTCCAGCACTCAGCTCTCGAATCGAGAAAGGATGCTGGGATGACGGCACAACCAGAGGCACGAAAGGGGTGCCTGGGACGGTGGTATTGAGAACGGCAGGGCCTAAAGCGGGAGCAGTTGGACAGACACAGCTGGGATCAGTCCGTGGAGCCCAGGGACGTCAATGGTACCCGAAAACCCAGAGCGCAGGGGCTCTGAGGAGGCTGGGGCCAAGATCCGAAAAGCTGGAGGCGACGAGAGGGGCCGAGACGGACCCCAGGTCGGGTCTGGGAGGGCGTCAGGGCGACTCCCCCGAGGCGAGGACTGCGAGGACTGCGAGCCTGGGTCGGGGTCGACGGCCGAGAGGAGCCCGTGAGCATCCCTGCCCAACCGGACCGCCAAACTACTCCTTCCACAGTGCTCCAGGCGATGGCGGCAGGTCGCCTCGGACACGGAAGGCGACGTGCAGCGGGAGCCGCTCTCGGGCGCAGAAGGGCCGAGCGGCAAAGCGCCAGCCGCACCCTCCCACCCGGCCCCGGGCCGCGCGCTCACCCGCCTGACGGTTTCCGTGGCGACAGCCGGAAGTCCCCGAACCGCCCCGCGCCGCTTCCTCCCGCCCTCCGAGGCCCGCTGAGCTGTGTGTGACTGGAGTGCAGGCTGGCCGCACAGACGGCGGAAGACCGCAGAGCGTCTCCGCCGGGACTCAGGACCCGCTCCGAGAGGGCCCCCGCCCCACGTCCTATCATCCAGGGTCCACCCATGTAAACTCCCAAAGTGCTTACCACTCTCTAGCACAGTACACCTTTTATTTGCTAGTTTACCTCAGCCAGAATCTCCGCGAGCGGGTTGCCTTTGCGATGGGACACCAAGGGCGCTCGACCCCGCACTCTTTGGGCAAAGCCTATGGCCTCGCCCGGACTCTGGCCCGCCGTGGTCACCCTGCCTCTGTGACCTCCAGGGGCAAGGACCTCGTGAGACCCACCCCCGCCGCGGTCCGCACAAGTGAACCGCGAGCGAAGTGACCTGCGTCTGCCCTACTTAAAGATGGCGGCGGCACCGCCCACGCCTGGACCCGCGAGCGTCCCCGGAAATGACCGCGGGACGGCCTGCACGAACGGAAATACCCGAGCGCAGCCGAAAAAGTCTGAATAATCAAGACCTATCGCTGAGCAACGCGGGGCGGTGGCGGCAGCAGCGGCGGCTGCGCAAGCGCACAGCGCAGACCGGGCGAGAAGAGCCGAAGTGGGCAAGCGGCGGAAATATCCGAAGCGGTGGGGCGCCCGAGGCCGTTGCGGACCTCCGCGCCGAAGCCGCTGCTGCCGCGGAAGCCGAGCCTCTTCTAGTACAGGGCAGCCGCCACCGCGGCCGCCGCCTCCTCCTTCCCCTCGAGCCGCACCCCCTCGCGGTGGGAGCGAGTGAACAGACAAGCGGCGCGGCCGCAGCTGAGCCTGAGGGGACCTAAGCGGGCGAGGGGGAGGAGGGAGCGGCCGGGTGGGGGCGGGGCCGAGCGGACCCGAGAAGAGCCGAGTCGGCCCGAGCACCGCCGAGCGAGCCCGAGGCGCCGGGCCAGGCCGGAGCCGGACTACGGGAGCCGACGCGGGCCGCGCGGTGGGCGCGGAGCGGCGCGGCAGGCCGGGCGGGAGGCAGCGGCAGCGGAGGAGGCCGCGAAGGCGGGTTCGAGTGGCGGAGGCGGCGCGGGTGGCGGCAGGGGGCCGGGTGGCCGGGGTCCCGGGCCCCGCAGCGGCGGCAGCGGCGGCGGCGGCAGGATGATCAAGCTGTTCTCGCTGAAGCAGCAGAAGAAGGAGGAGGAGTCGGCGGGCGGCACCAAGGGCAGCAGCAAGAAGGCGTCGGCTGCGCAGCTGCGGATCCAGAAGGGTAGGGGGTCGGAGGATGGGGGTGGGGGTCGGAGGTCAGCGCTTGGGGTGGGGTGATGTAAGAGTCAGGAGTGGGATAATGTAGTCACCGGGGGTCAGAGATGTCAGAGATGTGGCCGCAGATGTGGGGTCGGAGGTTAGGGCCTGGGTGTTGGTGATGGGGGATCAGGAGTAATGCAGTCACCGGGGGGTCAAAGATAGGGGGCCGAGTATGGGGCACTTAGGATACGGAAAGCCAGGCGTCTTGCATTAGGGACCGAGAATCAGAGAGTCAGGCAATGAAGGGCGAGTAGGAAGCTGGAGACTCCACAGAGCATGGGGGTCAGATTGGAACATGGGTGATAGGCAGAGGAGATTAGGTAGGTGGTGGGCCAAGGATTGGGGATAGAAGTCGGAGAGGATTTAGTGAAGTATCTTGGGGTCATTGGGAATCTGAAAGTGAGATGCAGTGAAGTAAGTTTGGGGCACTGCAATTTGTGGGTCGGGGGGTCACATGGCAATTTGGGGTTTGGGGTGACACGTGGAGGAAGGAAGAACAGTGTGTGCCAGGGATTGGAGATGGGAGTAGGGTTGAATTTAGGTTATCATCCTGGAGGTGCTGGGAATCTTAGAGGCTGCTTAGAGGGGTACAGAAATGGGAACTCACATGTCTGAGGATCGGATGGGTCCCTGAATTTAGGATGACAAGCAGAGAAGAGGAGGGACGGTGGGGATGGGATTGGTGAGGGGATGATGGGGGGCAGGGTGAGCTTGAGTTTCGGTGGACGGGGGGTAGCAGCAGTGTCCACTAGAAAATGGAGTTCTTGGCTGGAGATCCTGGTGTTTGGGGTAGTTGGAGGCTCTTGGGGGCCACACAGGGGTGGGGGAATTGGGGAGCTGGGTTGGGGGCACCCAGCTGTTGGGTGCTGAGACTTGAGGCTCTGGATTCGCAGGAGTTGGAACTTACCCTGGGCCAGGAGATAGAGCATAGCCACAGTTGAAAATGCATGTTTGAAGCGTGCTGTGGATCTAGAAGAGCCTGCCTGGAAGCAGAAAGAGCAGGGAGAGGGTTGGGGCTGTGGGGCACAGCCAGGACAGAGCCCTGAGGGTCCTGGAGGAGGCCATGGGTGCTCTGCTGGCACTTGCACCTGCTCTGAGTGCCCTCCTCTCTCCCTCGCCCTCTCTTTGTTCCCCTTCTCTGCTTTGCAAACCCAGACATAAACGAGCTGAACCTGCCCAAGACGTGTGACATCAGCTTTTCAGATCCAGACGATCTCCTCAACTTCAAGCTGGTTATCTGTCCTGATGAGGTAAGGGCTCAGTTGGACTCCCAGGTATGGGGCAGTGGGGGGAATACCTTGAGTTGGGAGACCTGGTTTACCTGCCAGGCCCTGCAGGATGGTGTCCTAAGACTTTTCCTCTTTCCCCTCGCAGGGCTTCTACAAGAGTGGGAAGTTTGTGTTCAGTTTTAAGGTGAGTCCAGGGTGGGCAGGGATAGAGGCAACAGCTGAGGCCCACCCCAGCCAGGCACTGCTAAGGCACCTATCTATCTTCTCTCTCTTCTTGGAGCCAGGTGGGCCAGGGTTACCCACATGACCCCCCCAAGGTGAAGTGTGAGACGATGGTCTATCACCCCAACATTGACCTCGAGGGCAACGTCTGCCTCAACATCCTCAGGTGAGGGCCCTGACTTTAGATTGCACAGGCCTCTGTCCCTTCCCTCCCTCTTGTGGTCTGCGGTTTTCTATCTCTTCATCTCCACATTTTCTTCCTCAAGTCTTGACCTTAGCTTTCTCCTTGGCCTGTCCCGCTGTGTGCCCTCCCCCTAGCTTCTCACATCTGCACTGTCCTGTGCCCTGGGCCTGACCTGTTTAGTCCCAGCAGGCTCTGTGTTGGCCGTCCACTCACCAGCCCCTGACCCTGATTCTCTGTCCACAGAGAGGACTGGAAGCCAGTCCTTACGATAAACTCCATAATTTATGGCCTGCAGTATCTCTTCTTGGTGAGTAGGGGTGGGTGGGAGAGGCTGGGGAAGGTTGGCCCTCTCTGCTCTTAGGGCCTGTTGACCCCTACCCATACCGGCCACAGGAGCCCAACCCCGAAGACCCACTGAACAAGGAGGCCGCCGAGGTCCTGCAGAACAACCGGCGGCTGTTTGAGCAGAATGTGCAGCGCTCCATGCGGGGTGGCTATATCGGCTCCACCTACTTCGAGCGCTGCCTGAAATAGGGTTGGCGCACACCCACCCCTGCCAGGGCCACCAGCCCCGGCGTCCCCTGCAAATATTTATTGGGGGCCACAGGTGGGGGGCATGGGGTGGCCGGTGGGGGAACCCCATGCCCTGGCCTTGCCTCCCCTCCCTGCCACCCGCTCCTAGTTATTTTTTTTTTTTTTAACCACCATGTGATTAAGGTCGGCGCTGCCTCCCCCGACCCGCTCAGCAATGGGAAATGAATTGGCTTGTCTAGCCCCCAGCTGGGTGCTGTCCAGCCCCCCACTCTGGGCTCTGGGGTGGGTGGCCAAGGGGACTGGGTGGCTGGGGCTCGGGCACCCCACCCCTCCACCACTGGAGGTCCCACCAGGCTATTAAAGGGGAATGTTACTGCATGGCCTCCGCCTCTTCCTTCTGTGGGGGTGGGAGGGGCAGGTGATGTCCACCAGAGCTCTTGCAGCAGGAGTGGCGGGGGATGTGTAACTGGTTAGAGGTGGCACTGGGGCACCCCTCAGGAGGCTACCCAGTGCCTGAAACAGCCCTGGGGGGCAATAGGGGGGACAACACCCCAAGCCTCAGGCTGGGTGGGATGAATCCCAATATGCGACCATCGAGGGGCAGGACCAGTAACCACTCACTTCCTGCTTGATAAGCCAGTAAAGAGGAAAGTCCGTGCCATCTCCAGCTCTGCCCCCTCCTGCCATGACTGGATCCACCAAGAACCCTCCCTGGTGCTACCAGGTGCCTGAGATCCAGAAACATTAGGGAAACGTCGGGGTCTGTCGGATGAGCTGGACCCTCTAGTGGGTGCGGTGGTGGGATCCGGGACCTCTGGGGTGGCCGGGCGCAAGGCGCCCGAAGATGCACCAACCCAACGGGGACTGGGAATCCAGGCCTGGCTGGGCTGGAACCTATGGAACACCCTCAGACAGGCCCCCAGAGAGACGAAAGCTTGTGCGCATGCGCCTGGATGCCGGCCTGCTCGCGCACGCGCCCTCTTGTCCCCGCCCATCGTTCCGGGTGCCGGTGGGGCGTGTGACGTCAGACCATTTCTTCCGGAAACGGCGGCGACGGCAGAAAGAACCGAGGAGCTATCGTTAGTGGGTGCGCCTGAGAGCCGAGTGAGAGGAGCGTAACCCGGAAGCGGAAGCGGATTCCCGTCCCAGCTTCGGTGAGTGGTCCCTGCTGGGCCGCGGGTCCCGGGTGGGTGCGTGGGCGACGGCCTACGAGGGTCTCTTCGCCGGGGTGTCGACTGCCTCGCCCGTCCACGGGACCGTAGCCCCATCATCGAACCACCTTGTTCTCGGTGTGCGGGCCTCCCAACGCCCCCCAGGTCGTCCTGAACAAGGCGCCCCATCGCCCATCATCCCGTTCCGGGTGTACAGGGGTCCCCACGGACCCGTTTTTTCCAGATCCTCAGAGCTCCCCAGCATCCATCATGTCCTTAGTGTGCCGGGTGCCCCAACTCCTCACAACCATATTGTTCGCACCCAGGTTCCCTCCCCGTTCAGGCCCCCCCCGCCCCCCGCCAGTCCGAATGCTAATTCGTAGGTTGTCAGCTTCAGAACCCCTCCCTATATCCACTTTGTTCTTGGCACGCAGGCCCCCACAGTTGCCCTGTCCTCGGCGCTCAGGGTCCACATGCCCCAGTGCATCTTCACACAACCACTTCCCTTCTCAGTCCATCAGACTCCGGGGCCTCACTGTGGTCTGGAGAGAGGCTGAAGCCTTGAACCTCCTTTGGGGCACTATGATGAAGGGCTGGGGTGGGTATGTTGTGGATGACTTTCAGATCTTGCTGACCCCACTTGTACCCATGGGGCTCCTTCAGTGTTCCAGGCTAGGTTTTGGCCTTCCATTAATGCTTCCTCTCCCTGCTTACCCCTCTGCATTTTGCAAGCCCCCGCAACTACCCACTCCCATACACATTGTGACTCTGGCTCTGCTTCTTGCCCTTTCTCTGGGGCCCACACCACTTTGCACCTAGGCTTCACACTTGTCACAGGCCCACTGGTGGGCTCCTGCTACCATGGATTTGTTGTTTGGGCGCCGGAAGACACCAGAGGAGTTGCTGAGGCAGAACCAGCGAGCCCTGAACCGTGCCATGCGAGAGTTGGACCGTGAGCGACAGAAGCTAGAGACCCAGGAGAAGAAAGTCATCGCAGACATCAAGAAGATGGCCAAGCAGGGCCAGATGGTGAGCTCAGTTGGGCGCAGGCTGGGACACAGGGTTAGGTGCTGTGGTTTGGTCAGGCACTGCTAGAACGGTGGAGCGTGACAGGACACCAACAGGTGCTCGGAGAGAAATTAAGGGTGAGCGGGGCTTCCCTATTTTGGGTATCCAGAAAGGCTGTCTCCCAGGTGATATCAGAGCCACAAACCTTGAGTAATGAAGAGGATGAGCCTGTGACGATCCAAGCAACCACAACATATCAAACAGATGAGGCAGCAAATGTTCCAGGAGGGAGTGATAGGTGAGCTCAGGGTAGACAGTAGGCCACACCAGTTGAAATCATGGGCTACAGTGGGAGCTGAGTCAAAGGATTTAATGCAGGAAGATCAGTAAAAGAAATGGAGACAGTCTGAACCAGTAGGGAGCAGAGCCTGTGACAGGTGACAGTTTGAACCTGAGCAGCTGAGTTGAAGAGGTTCCGTTTCCCAGGATAGGCAAGGCAAGGAAGACGTTAAGGGAAGTCGAAAGCTGAGCTATGGATAGATTTATATTTGGGATAAAGTGCTTGAGGTATGAGCCTTTGTGAGATGGAAGGAAAGAAACTTTTCAGCCAGGAATAGAAATTCAGGAATAGGTACTGTAAGTCAAGGGAGTGTGACTTTAGATACCGAGGGAAAAGGGTGCCTATATAGAGTGAGCCCAGCCTTCCTTCCAGAGTCTATGGGTGAGAGAGGTAAGTATACAAAGGAACCGGTGGAGTGGTGACCCAAGACGCATGAGGATGAGGTTGGGAGGAGGGAGGGGGCAGTGACCACATGTAAATCTCTGAAAGCATCAGCTGGAATGGTGCAATGGGAGCAAGCATGTTCCTTTGGCCCACTCCCTGTCACGTTTGTCCACTTCTCAGGATGCTGTGCGTATCATGGCAAAAGACCTGGTGCGCACTCGGCGTTATGTGCGCAAATTTGTGTTGATGCGGGCCAACATCCAGGCTGTGTCCCTGAAGATCCAGACACTGAAGTCTAACAACTCGATGGCGCAGGCTATGAAAGGGGTCACCAAAGCCATGGGCACCATGAACAGACAGGTGCGCCTCTCCTATTCCCCCACCCTCCCCCCCAACTAACCCCCAACTAACCCTCCCCACACCCCACTTGCAGCTGAAGTTGCCTCAGATCCAGAAGATCATGATGGAATTTGAGCGGCAGGCCGAGATCATGGACATGAAGGAGGAGATGATGAACGATGCCATTGATGATGCCATGGGTGATGAGGAAGATGAAGAAGAAAGGTTAGGGGACACCAGGTTTGGGGAGGATGGGGATGGATGCACATGCCTGGCCCTCACAAAGGTCTTCTCTCTTCCCAAGTGACGCTGTTGTGTCCCAGGTCCTGGATGAGCTGGGATTGAGCCTGACAGACGAGCTGTCAAGTGAGTGCACCAAACTTTGGGCCCTGTCCCACCGAACAGTCCAGAAACAACCCCTGACCCCCCTGCTCCCAGCATTATTCCTTTCTACAGGAACTCTCCTAACCCCCCCTCTCTGTAGACCTCCCCTCCACCGGAGGCTCACTCAGTGTGGCTGCCAGTGGGAAGAAAGCAGAGGCAGCAGCTTCAGCCCTAGTAGATGCAGACGCAGACCTGGAGGAGCGGCTCAAGAATCTGCGGAGGGACTGATTGCCCTATACCACCCTGGGTGGGAGGTGGGCAGTGGATGCCCAGCAATTTCACTGTACTTCTTCTGTAATAAACGATTGGACAATGGTTCCTAGGCCTGTGTTGACTGGCCTGATGTGGGCCAGGTTGGGGTCCCTTGGCACAGGTCACATACAGGGCTTGGTAAAAGGGCAACTGACATGCATGGCAGAAGACGGAATGCCAGATCCACTGGGATGTAGGATAAGGAAGGCTGGATTGCTTCCCAGTTTGTGGCAGGAGTTGACAGGTTGTCTCTCCAGGACGTTCAGGGTTTGGGAGCTTAAGGTCATCTGTGTGCTCTGCTTCAACACCCTTCCCAAAGCCTCCAGTGCCTTGGCTCAGTGCCTTGGCCTCTAGTGCCTATCACCTCCAAGACCACGGGCTTCCCAGATACCCTGAAGTCTGGGCTCATCTGCCAGGGATCCTCAGCCCACCCAGCGCACTGTGGTGCCATCTGATTATGAGAAATGGTTACACCCAAGTCCAGGAAGTACTCAGGAAGAATGGCTACCATGCAGCATATGTATCTGGGGCTACACCCTGCCTGCCCAGAGCAGCCCAGGCATTACCACCTACAGGGGCACCCAAAACCCTCCAGCCAGCATGTGCACCATGTGACCCTCCCATCCATCTGAGGCACTCTCTACATTGGAAGGGCCAGGAGGGATGCTCTCCTCTTCCCTACTCCCTGGACACGAAAATGGCTGAAGACAAGTGCCCCACACCTACTCCATCCACCAGGGCACGGTGAGGGAATTGCAGAGACCAGGGCCCAGGACCACTGCCCCCCTCCCGCCCCCGCCGCAGCCCCAAAAAAGGCCTGAGGAACTGGTGAAGTTTTTATTAAATCCACATAAGTAAAAACCATATCGTGAAGGACTGGGGGATGGGGCCACCAAGAAGTAGGAGCCAGGCCACCAGAAGGGGAGGTTGGGGGGGTGGGGGGGATTTGACAGGACAGAGAACAAAGTCAGGCCGGATTGGCCTGAGAGGCCACAGACTCAAGGGCCATCACCAGGACCACTGGATAGCTCCTGGGCACTCAGGCCAGCACCAGGCAGGCTCAGCGGCGGGGGCTCCACCAGCACAGCTGAGAACTTGGTGTCACCAAAGGCCTCGTTCATGCGAGTCTCAAAGAAGCGCTGCAGACCGATGATGGACTGCACGTCTGCCTTGTCCTAAGCCGGGCAGATAGCAGTGGCTGGGTCCTAGCTCTCCCTCCTCCCACCTCCCCTCGCCCTGCCCCCAACCCCATTCTCCCCAAGCTCACCTCTGTCAGCTTGTTGAACTGCTTAAACATGCGGCCCACATCCTGGGCAAACTCCTGGGGGGAACTATAGGGGGGTGACAACTTCTCCTGGAGACGGGCACGGATCAGGGTTAGGTCCAGGGTGCCGCCTGGCTGATCCTGCAGACAAAAGCCACAAGCTAAAGATGAGGCCGGGCACTCTCTCCCCATACCCTCCCTTTTAAGTCCCAAGACTCACCACGGAGAAAGTGGAGTCAGTAGCCAGCTGGTGCAGGGGCCGGCAGGGCTCATGACAGAACAGGGCCAGCAAAACACGCTCACACTTCTACGGACAGGACAGGGGACATCAGAGCCACAGAGGGAGGGGGAGGGCTGCTGAGCAAACTCCTCAGGGATGGCCCCCCCCTCACCTGCTGGTTGGCTGGCGAGAGCTTGGCCACCACACCGGTGCTATCACCACCATCCAGGCTCAGGCTGCCATCCTCCTCTTTCAGATCGGGTAGCACATGGCAAAGAGAGCAACTCCACTCCTCCCTGGATGGAAGGAGAATGAGGAGCTGCAAAGGACCTGGCCCAGCCCTCCACCCTGCACAGACCCCACACAAGCCTCGCACCCTGGCACATCCTGCAGGGCAGGCAGGTGGCAGTCCAGGTGGAAGCAGAACTCGCACTGGTTGCACATGACCAGATCGCCTGGCTTCTGGCAGACACGGCAGATGGTGGCACTGTCATCCAGGGCACCCGGGCCACCTGCTGGGGCTGAACTGCCCTCTGGAGCCACCACCTCCAGACCTGAACTGGTGCTGCCACTGGGTGAGGCCAGGCGTGGGCCCTCAGCACCAGGACCCTCCGCCAGGGCCATCAGCACAGGCTTGGTCTCAGGGCCCTCAGTGGCAGCAGGCGGGGCTCCGATGGCAGCCTCTGTCTCTTCTTCCTGCAAGGACGTAACAAGGTAATATGGCGCTCAGCAGGGTGCATGCAGATCTGGGTGTTCCGTCTCCCACTCACAATCACCTGAGGCAGGCTCACCTTGACTATGGCCATACCAGGCAGAGGCGGGGCCCCAGGGGCCCCGGGCGGAGCAGTCCCAGGCTGTCCAGCTGCAGCAGCTGCAGCACCACGCTCAATGACGATGAGATTATAATCCTCAGTGGTGCTGCCTGGGAAGACCTTGAAAACTGGTGGCTGACTATCAGCCGTGAGATCCAGGTCCAAGCGCTCGAGGCTCACCCGTGGCACCTTGCGCATGAGGCCACTCACCTCGCCCTCACCTGAGCGGGACCTGTGGGTGCAGGTGCAGCACAGGGTCAGCACACCCATCCCTAATCCCACCTGGCTCCACCAAAGGATAGCCAAACTCACCGCTTCACGCCTGACACATGGGGCTCTGCACTCGAATAAGGATCGTCTGCTCGGAAAAAACATAAAAAGAGACAGCAAGTTAGGGATAAACCTAGAGCACTGAAGCTCTCCCACCTACAAGGCACTCACCTGAGCCAAAGCCATAGCCTTCCTGCACCTCCATGGGCTGTGGGCAAAGTAGGTGGTCCTCAGTGGGCAGGTGTCCCATAGGACCCCGTGCCCCGCCCCCGCTCCCTACCAGGGTTCCCCCGCCCCCCGCTCACCTGGCTGCTGCCAGAGCCCTGCTTGCTCAAGGGCCCTGGAGCCCGAGGAGGGGCCATGGACGTAGGGCCTGTTGAGTTGGTGCCAGGACGCTCTGCCACGATCTTGCCTGCAAAAACGAAGTAAAATCAGCAGGAGATGACCCAGGGTCTGGAATAATAGCAATATGCAGCAGGATAAAAAAAAGGACACACCAAAAGCCTCTGCACTCTTGGTCCAGGCATTGAGGTCCCACTGGAACTTCATCTCGCCGTGTGGCTCCACAGGGTCCACAATCATCTTGAGGGCCCGATGCAGCTGGAAGTAGATCTGGAGATGGAATAGTACATGAACACACAGAAAACAAACAAGGCTGCAGGGTGCTGAGCAGCACCTGCCTGGAACCCACCACCTGGGTGCCCACCAGCACACACCAGCTTCTTGGAGAGCAGCAGGGCCGTGTTGTTGTCACTCTCCAGAGCCCATGAGGCAAAGCGCAGGATATGTTCCTGGTGCTTCTGGATCTTGGTCATGGTCCAGTGTTGTCGCTCCAGGCGCTCCTGCTGCCCTTCAGTCACCTTCTGCAGGTAGAGCGGAGAAAGCAATGAAGGAAAGCAGACACCAAGGATGGCATCAATAGCCAGCAAAGGATGCCAGTCCCCAAGACCCTCCCACCATAGATGGGGTCTGCAGCCAGCAGATGGGACCCAGAATCCCTTCCCCACCCAAACGGTGTACCTGGGCATCGTTGACCAGTACACGGCCCCGCTTGTTCAGTTCCTTCATGATCTGCAAGATGGCCATCTTAACATCCACCTGCACACGCTTCTGTACATCAGACACCTGGCGGATCCTGGAGGGGGGGCGCAGGGTGAATCAGGTCAGGAACATGCTCCCCCAGGACTGCCCCCAACTATGGCCCTGGCTTCCACACTTACGAGCTGCGAACCTCCTTGGTGTTCTTCTGCAGTGTTGCATGCTTGTCCCCGAGGCGCTTCACCAGCGAGGCCAGGAGCTTGCGCTGGTTCCTCACTGCATCTTCCAGGAACTGATATCTGAGAGCAGACAAAAGTGGGCCTCGGTGCTGAACATGAGAACGAACAGGCAGCACCCACCAGCATCCTCAGTACTCACTGGTGGTCCTTATGGGCATTGAGCTGGCAGTCCCGGCAGGTGAGGGTGTCACAGCTCTCGCAGAACAGCACGAGAGGCTCGTGCTTGTGCACGTTGCAGTACACTGTACGCTCACCATCCCTTGACTTGGCTGGCCCTGGGGAGTAGAAACCGTGAGTCTGAAGCTCATCCTCAGCTATCTCCACCTCAAGTAGTAAACAGAACCTGAGGCCTCACTTCCTGCCTGTCCTGCAAGCCTGGGCTGTCTGCTAGGAAAACTCAAGGGCCCTGCAGCAATATCCAGGGAAAAGCACAGGCCTTTAAGACCAAATCCTTCCTTTCAAAATACTCTGCCCCAAGCCTGACCCAGACAACCACTCCCTCCTATCAGCTTGTGACCTGGATAACAAAGTAACAAAGTCTCAAGACTTTGGCAGAGACCTCCCACTTGCTGTTCTGTCTACTAGAACCTTCCCCAGGTGGACACTCAGAAGAGCTCCTCCACCTTGAAAACCCCCACTGCGCTCGATTCCTCCTCCACTCGCAGCAGGTTCTGTCCAGCAGAGAAGGGAACTCTGGCTATTGCGGCATCCAAGCACAAAGAACGTTTGCTCGCTGGCACAGAGAGAAAGCAAATCAGGGACTAGAAATACTGTTCAAGCACAGCTTCCTCAGCAGCCACACCTTGGTGACCTCCCCTCTCTTGAATAAGACAAGTTCACAGACCTCTTACCACGCAAAGGCCTACAAGGGATCCAGGCTTTGCAAAGCCTTCTGAGGATAGAAGACGTGAAATGTCAGACCAAAATCCTCATAAAGGTGTCAGGTCCCCTCTCTCTGAAGGGAGAGTTCTGGTACTTACAGTAATACCGCCCAAAAACCAATACCACCACCCCGCCCCCAACCTGTCACCGTTACAAAGCTGCTTGAGACCATCTATCCCTCTTTCCTACCCAATCCCAAGTACATCCTGGCTACACCGTCCCAGCCCAAGACCTATGACTGAGGCGCAAATCAGCCAAACCATGGGTCCTCGAATACCGCCCCCCTCCCTCCTGCACTCTGCCCTGTGCCTGAACCCAGGACCTCCTACAAATCCCTGCCC